ATATATATATATATATATATATATATATATATATATATATATATATATATATATATATATATATATATATATATATATATATATATATATATATATATATATATATATATATATATATATATATATATATATATATATATTTATTATCATATATATATATATATATATATATATATATATATATATATATATATATATATATATATATATATATATATATATATATATATATATATATATATATATATATATATATATATATATATATATATATATATATATATATATATATATATATATATATATATATATATATATATATATATATATATATATATATATATATATATATATATATATATATATATATATATATATATATATATATATATATATAGAAAAACTTATGTCAACTTAAGTGGACGTCCACTAAGCCACTAAGTTTCTTAGTCATCGATGATCACTTGATTGAGCTACATTGTGGATGATCCGCTCCGTTGAACTTGATCTACATATTCTAAAACCCCAACACACCAAATTTGGGGTGAATCCGTCGTGATTTGACCCTCCGTCGAGCCATGTAAAAAGTTATATAAAGCTTATTTTGGTAAATGATATGATAACTCATAAGCAATATCTTTTTGTTATGGGTAAAACTATTTGTTTTATATATTGCCACTTAACAATTGCTCTATGTTAGAGTTACATCAAGAGAAAGAATTGCTAAATGATATAACAACTCATAAGCAATATCCTTTGTTATCAGTAGAACTATCTGTTTTATTTATTGCCACTTGACAATTGCTCCATATTAGAGTTATATTCTAGCTGGCTAATGATTGATTAAAATAAATTAATTCCCCTTATTGCAATCGATCTATGTAAATAAGACTAGCTTCAAAATGAAAATCAAGCCTCAAGCTCAGTCTACTGTAAAGATGTCAAAATGTAATATGACAGAGGTCTCGTCGAAAAGTATCATACAATTAGATCGAGCATCTAAAAAAAGGTACTTAATCAAGATCAGAAAAATCTCTCAAAAAGTTACAAAGAATAAAACAATCTTATTATTCCTATAAAATTCACATTTAAACTACACGTACAAACGTGAAAAATAATTATAATGTCCTTCTATATAAAATTTTTTAGCATACGTTGAGTCAGTATCTAAGCCTAAAATGTACATATATCTGAACTTCCAACCCCTCATAAAATGTAAGATAAGTTCATTTCTTTTCCCCATCTTCTCTTCATGAATATCTGAACTTCCAACCCCTCATAAAATGTAAGATAAGTTCATTTCTTTTCCCCATCTTCTCTTCATGAATCTTGTTGTGCCATAAAAATAAGTAAGTATCAATCAACAATTAACTGGCTGACACACATCTCAAGCAGACTACACCCCAACTCGGTCCAGACAGGCCCAGACAAATGTCCCTTCTTGCCAGGAGTCGTCCCTTCTCTCCAAGTAGAGACGAAAGGCGGTCATTCTCGAACCCCTCGCCGGCAGCCAGTCACCATCACATTAAATGCATAGTTGGAGTCATTATTACATCCCGCCCGAAAAGACCTAATAACTCATTAGACCACGACATCACCTAGGACCCTCTGTCACCGTCGCATTAATCACAAGGATGACTCATGCCACCCACAGTCGACACATGTAAAATAACTATCGACTAAGCTGTTTGGACTCGGTCAAAATTATAAAATTGCCCATATAGACCTATTATATATAGAGGCACAGTCAATAGCACAAGGGAGGCTCAACAGTCTATCAGGGGATCAATCATTGAAGGAGGTCAAGGGACCCCAACCTAATCAAGATCATCCTCAAATCTTGTTGTTGATAACTTTGAAATCAACAAATCTTTAAAATTTAAAAAAAAGGAAAGGGAATCTGTTGATGCTTGTGAACAAACAGTCGATGGGGGTTTCCCGCAGTCGGATGTAGTTGCGATCCTGACGACGGCGGGGAAGAAGGAGAGGATGAATGTTGGGGCTGGCTCCTCCTCCGACTTTATGCCCGATTCTGGCGGGGAAGAAGGAGAGGATGAATGTTGGGGCTGGCTCCTCCTCCGACTTTATGCCCGATTCTGAGTGCGCGGGGTGGACTGATAACCTGCACATGCAAGAATCACCGGAATACGGGGCTAGTTTCCTTCCCCCATGGTACCTCCGACGGTCAAGTCAGTTGATGGACTTAGCTAGGGTTTGTAGAGAGGCCCCTAGTCCATTGAGATCCTTGCAGGGGGTTTTGCTGTTGGAAGTATTAAAAATACAAAAGAGGGAGTAAAGCTCAGGTGCAAGAAGAAGTTGCCCCCCTCCTCCCCGGTTTTACCTTTCTTACCTCCCTTTATAGCTTACTTGTCTCTGGGAGTTTGACCCTTGGCTTTTGTTGACTATGCACAGGAGGCGGTTTGAAAGGTGGACATGCAGACTGCTGAGTGATCTTTCTTCCTCCAGGTGTCGGCATGCAACTGGGAGGGAAGTCACTCGATGTCAAGGGAGAGAAGTCTTCTCAGTGCTCTGGGTTTGTTAGAGTAGGCATGGTGTAGGGTAGGTCGGCTGTGTGGCCGTCCTTTCTCCAGGTGGCGGCTAGCGATTGGAGAAGAAGTCATTCGTGCACAGGAAAGCTTATGGAGATCTTCTGGGAAATGACTTGTAAGCTGAATAAGCGGCTCGTGCCGGAGATCATTGTCAGAGCGTATATCTTGATGGGACTGGTCAATGTTGTAGCTTGGCTCGTGCCGGAGATCATTGTCAGAGCGTATATCTTGATGGGACTGGTCAATGTTGTAGCTTCGAGTGACATTTGAAGTGGTCCCGGTCAGATCTTATCCCTTTAGTCAAGGCGGGTTGATCCGTGAGCCATCGTTATGATTTGGCGACCCGTGAGTCGAGTGGACTTCGGGTCAGACACGTAATTGAGTCGTCTGCTCGAGGAGTCGTCTTATTTGCGAGGGAACGAATGATCCCGTTCTTCGAGTTGGTCATGATGACCCATCAGTCGGAATAAGGCTTGTCGGCTCGTCTAGTCGAGGGACTTGGCTCTGACTGTGCTTTTGAGCCTCTAAAGTTGATTCGGACCATTGCTCGCTTGGGCTTATGCAGGTATTCTTCCAATACTTCTATTTTGGTGCGGTGAATGACCATAACAGAATCCAAACTGCAAAACAACATAACCAACTATAAGGTGCTGCTTGTTTCATAAATTTTTTTAGCATTTAGGATAGATTCCAAATTCTAGGATGAAAAAGTAGACTTTTATGAAATATTGGATTTCATAGTTAGTGTTTGTTTCAATAAAATTTCTAGAATGTTTAATCCCTAAAATGTAAAAAAAAAATTAGAATTTTTCAAATCCTCTCAATTCGAGAGGATTTGACAAAGCCTATAAATGGGTATGATTATCCCAATTGCTATATCATTATATTTTGTTCTCTTGTGGGGAGATAAGCTCACTAATGTAAATATACTCACATCTCATTCTTTTTTAAGTTGATATAAATACTAAATTATAAAATTTAAAACTTGTTATTATATAATTTTGGGTTTAAACTAAATAAGAGATTACAAATTTTAAAATTAACTTTCTTATAATAATATTAAACTAAATAAAAATATTAAAAATCCTAAAACGTGTATAAAATACTATAATTTTGAAATTCCTATAAAATTATAAATCCTAAAATTTTAGGATTTGAACTAAACAGCCCCCTAGTCCACTAAGGGTGTGTTTGTTTTAAATCCTATAATTTTAGCATATGAAATTCTTCACCATGGAATTTGAAATCTATAGATGTTTGTTATGGGTTAGGATTTCTAAAATGTTGTTTATTTCATTAACATTTTGGGATTTGGAATACTACAATTTATAATATTTTGTTTGTTTCAAGCTCAAATTGTAGCATTACCAAATGCTAAATTTTTATAATATGATGAATTGCTATCTTGGTGAGGTTATCTCCCACAAAAATACAAAATTAGGATTTGTCAAATCCTCTTCAATTGAAAGGTAAACACACCCATTTATGAGATTTGTCAAAATCCTCTTCAATTGAGAGGATTTAGCAAATTCTAAAAAGTGGGCACTTTTTGCATTTTTAGGATTCAATGTTCTAAAAATTTTCTTAAAACAAATACCGTATATTGAATCGCAAAATACAAAAATAATTCAACTTTTTAATCCCAAAACTTATAATCCATACCAGATGGCAAAATTTTTTTGAAACAAACACTCGCTACTTGAACCGGGCCCGCATTTGTTTCTTTACAGCAATTAACACAGAAACCAAGGGGCAATAACGGACACTAAAAAAGATGAGATATAAATAACCAGAATAAAAATAATAATAAAATTAAAGACAACGCGTTCACAAACAAACAAACAAAAGGCAACCAGAAAAAACATCTATAAAACGTAGGGGAAGAGGGCTGGGGTTTTCTTTCTGCCTCCATTTCTAATTTCCCCCGTTCTATTTTCATTATTTTTCATCTAATTTTTGGTCGAATTCGACATATCAAAGCTATCAGAACTTCCTCCTCTTCTAATTGCCAAGGTAAAAATCTAATCTTTTATCGCAATTTCGCTTCAATTTTGTTCCTTTTGCTCGTCTGTGGCTTAAATTTCGATTTTATCACAATTTTGGTTTTTTTAATTTTCTTTCTGGTAAATTCTGGTTATTTTGTTTATGTACAATTAGTGTGTTATTGATCTTGGTAACTATGAACAATTATTTGATGACGAACTTTTTGGTAGAGTTTTATCACCTCATTTTAGCTGTGAAGAACAAAATATGAATGGGTTTGTTAGATTATTAAACCTTATAATATGAAGTGTTTTTAAAGTTACAAGAGAACTTGTGGGTTGTATGACAGATTATTACAGAAGTTAAGAATCCTAAAATCCTAAAGATGAGAAATTTAAGAGTGAAATCATGTAGTATGATTAAGCAAGTGACACACTAGAAAAATTGATTGGTTGATGGAATTGAAGATCTGGTGATGGGTGAGAGGAATTTAGAGGCAACGGGTCTCAAAGAGCTTACTAATTTCTATTTCGAGGCAGATAAATGAAATAATAATTGTTGGGATTGTGTCTTTGATTTTTTGTATAACTTTATGAGAATTAGATAGGGCTAGAGATCTATCATGATTAGGAGACTGGGTCTCATCGTGATTAGGAGTTTGAATCCTATTCTAATTAGAAAGTTAGGCTAGAGATAGAGTTTTGGTTTCCCTATATATATTCTTCTATTGTTGGAGGAAAAATCAAGGAGAAGGAAGATAATTAGTATTCTTGTAATCTAGGGTTAGCTGAGGGCGTAGCCTGATTTAAGAATATTATATAAGAGGCGAGAGTTTTGTAGTCTTTATCTGTGCAAAAAATTACATCATCGGGAGAGAGTTTTGCAGTCTTTGTCCGTTCAAAAGATTGTAAGGAGTGGGTTTTGGAGAGAATATGAGAGTTGATTATGTATGCGAGGTTGAGAGATTAAGAGACAAGAGTTGAGTGGTTCTTGTAGTTCTCTCTGATACATAGTGGATTTTTCGTATTGTTGCCTTGTGGACGTAGGTCGATCGAATCACGTAAATCTTGGTGTTATTTCTTCTTGATTGTGGTTATTTTCTATCTTGTTGATTGTGGGTTGACTTCCGAGTTACGAAGATCGTAGTACGCAGGGAAGGACTAAATTTCCTAACAAGTGGTATCAGAGCCATGATGATGGATCCGAGAGCGAGTTCGCAAGATAGACGTTGTACAAAAGTTAGGATTAGCGGCATTACAAGAATCAAGATGAAGAAAAAGAAAACAAACGGCCGAGTGACAGCAAGAACGCCGAGTGACAGCAAGAACGGGCGACGGCAAGAGTGGTAACATAGGTGATTTTGTGTTTGTTCGTTCGCGTGCAAGTCAAAAAAGTAGCAGCACGTGAGGAGATTCACACGTGTGGGGAGAAAAGAAAATTTAGCCAGTGGGGTCCACATGAAAGAATTATGAGAAGCAGTTCACGTAATCTTATTGTCTAATTACGACTTGTTAATCTGATGTGGAGTTTTGTTTGGTGTATGGTGTTGTGGATGCACATCGGATGGTCCAGATAGTTTTGCCGATAGATTGATGAACCAGAGGTTGATTTTAGTGATCCAGGAGTTGATTGCCAAGTTTTAGAGTGCTCTAAATGCGATGGGAGGGTTTGATTTTTCAGATTTTGCTCAAATTGGTCAGAAAGTGCTGAAAAGTTCTGATAGTGATGACGAGACAGATCTGATGACGGATAGAGCAAACGAGTATGAGATAAATAAGACAGGCGTAGAGAATCAGATGTGATTCTAACAGTAGAGTTGTCAGCATATAATTATTCAGAGTCATCGATGGAGCAATAGTTGTGTGTAGACTCGATGAGGACAGTGCCAGATTAGGTGGAGCTTACAAACAGGTACGACTGAGTGACACACATGCCAATGGAGATAGTGGCATTGGACTTGAAGACGATGAATGCTCATATTCGGTGCAAGCCAAGTGATGGAGGAGGTGGAGGCATCTGGCTCGTAGTGTGGAGTAGGAGAGGTGCGCCGATATGATTCGAGACGAGCGATGTAGGTGGAGTACGAGGACAGCAAGTGGGGGAAGTGTCAAGTTCAGTTTGGGAGGAAAAACATGGTTGATTTGCTTCTAATGTCAGAGGTGACGAAGATCTCTTGGTGCGCACAAGAGAGATGGAGGCGCCACAGCAAGACAGATAAAAGTGAGGGTCATAGGAGCATCCAGTTGGCTTCGATTTGAAGTGCGAAAGAAATAAAAGACTCTAACGAGAGAGACAAAGTTTCAAGACGACGATGATATATCTTCAAGGGAGTTTGGAAATCAAATTCAAGGTGGAGATTGTTGGGATTGTGTTTTTTATTCATTGTATAACTTCATGAGAATTAGATAGGGTTAGAGATCTATCATGATTATGAGACTGGGTCTCATCATGATTAGGAGTTTGAATCCTATTCTATTTAGGAAGTTAGGCTAAAGATAGAGTTTTGGTTTCCTTATATATATTCTTCTATTGTTGGAGGAAAAACCAAGGAGAATGGAGATAGCCAATATTCTTGTAATTTAGGGTTAGCAGAGGGTGTAGTCTGATTCAAGAATATTGTGCGAGGCGAGGGATTTGTAGTCTTTATCCGTGCAAAAAATTACATCATTAGGAGAGAGTTTCGCAGTCTTTGTCCGTTCAAAAGATTGTAAGGAGTGAGTTTTGGAGAGAATATGAGAGTTGATTATGTATGTGAGGTTGAGAGATTGAGAGATGAGAGTTGAGTGGTTTCTCTTGCAGTTCTCCCTGATACATTCAAGAATACTGTGCGAGGCGAGGGTTTTGTAGTCTTTATCCGTGCAAAAAATTACATCATTGGGAGAGGGTGTCGCAGTCTTTGTCCGTTCAAAAGATTGTAAGTAGTGGGTTTTGGAGAGAATATGAGAGTTGATTATGTATGTGAGGTTGAGAGATTAAGAGACGAGAGTTGAGTGGTTCCTCTTGTAGTTCTCCCTGATATATAGTGGATTTCTCGTATTGTTGCCCCATGGATGTAGGTCGAAGTTGATTGATTGAACCACGTAAATCTTATTGTTATTTCTTCTTGATTGTGATTATTTTCTATTTTGTTATTTGTGGGTTGACTTCCGAGTTACGAAGATCGTAGTACGCGGGGAATGACTAAATTCCCCAACAAGTGCCCTGTCTTGTTAGATGAAACTGGATTTCTAGAATTTGTATGATTACTGTGGGGTTCTTGCTTGTTGATAGAATACGAAGGATGAAAAAGCTTTTTTAAAAAAGTTATTTATCTCTGTCACATCTGTCGGGTACGAGTTTAACTCTCACGAAAACTCATTTGAGAATAGAGATTGTAAACAAATTCAAACACGCATCCAATACCTGTAATAGAGTAATACTGTTTTAGTAAAAGGTATATAATTTGTCAAAAGACATAAGACACTGATAATTGAATTGCACATCTCTCTCTTTAAGTCATTACTTATTATTCACTTTGAAACATGATGTTGTTATATTGCAATTTTACCTTTGTTATAATATTCAGATGTGTCTCCTTTGGATGAAAATGTTAGCTATGACCTTTGATGGGCATCTTTGTGTGTGTGTGCATGTGTCATGTCTTCATGTGTGACACGCAATACATCATCCAAGTTAGCTAGTCTCGCTCAGCACTGCAGTGTGTATTCTATGTGTATTGTTCTATATGTACGAATTACAGTTTGTCTTCTACTTTTATTGTAAGACTGTAATATGTTTCAATTATGATTTTCTCATTTTCTGACATAAAAATGGTGCAGTTCTTTTGAGCACTTGTAGAAGAACTGATTTTGCTTTATTTTTCATATAGATATTCCAACCAAATCGCTGAAAGACAAACACCTGGGAATGCTGAAAAATGTGTGTGAGTGTTGAGAAATCCTCAACTGAGGTAATTGAGATTGTAGAGATTGTAGCTTTATCCAGTTCATCTTTATTCAACTTTGAAGAACTTGGTCAACATATCGTTATCAACTTTGTTTCCCCTGCATTAATGCACAATGTACCTGATAAAACAAGACAAATTGTTCTGGTTGATCAGGACATCGGTGATGATGGTTGAAGTCTTTTGCTCTTAGACACCCATTTTGTATATATTACATATTATCTCAAGAAAAAAGGTATACTAGCTGAACGAAGACCGTAAAATAAATGGACAATAAGAGCCATATATTGATGCAGAAGTATGAAATGGGGAGAGTGTTAGGACAAGGAACATTTGCGAAAGTTTATCACGCTCGAAATATGAAGACTGCTCAGAGTGTTGCTATAAAAGTGATTGACAAGGAGAAAATATTGAGGGTTGGACTTACTGATCAAATAAAAAGAGAGATATCTGTAATGAGGTTGGTGAGGCATCCACATATTGTCCAGCTTTACGAGGTCATGGCAACCAAGAAGAAGGTTTACTTTGTAATAGAATATGTCAAAGGTGGCGAGCTCTTTAATAAGTTGAGCAAGGGCAGGCTCAAAGAGGAAGTTGCTCGCAAATACTTTCAGCAGCTGATCAGCGCTGTGGATTACTGCCACAGTAGAGGTGTTTATCACCGAGATTTGAAGCCTGAAAACATACTTTTGGACGAAAATGGAAATCTTAAAGTTTCAGATTTTGGCTTAAGTGCCCTAGCTGACACTCGGAAACAGGACGGTTTACTCCACACAACTTGTGGAACTCCAGCTTATGTGGCTCCTGAAGTTATCAGCAGAAAAGGATATGATGGTGATAAAGCTGATATTTGGTCTTGTGGGGTAATTTTGTTTGTTCTGTTGGCTGGCTATCTCCCTTTTCAGCACTCAAATTTGATGGAGTTGTATAGGAGAATTGGTAAAGGAGAATATAAATGCCCCAGTTGGTTCCCTTATGAAGTTCGGAGGCTGCTATCAAGGATTCTGGATCCAAATCCAAGTACTAGAATATCAATTGCAGACATAAAGGAGAATCCCTGGTTCAAGAAAGGTTTTGATGACAAGTTGAAGATGATTGAAACAGGCAAAAGAGAAAGCCCTCCTGAGAATTTGAATGCTATTGTAAGCTCCTCAGGCAGCGGTACAAGTGAGGGAAATCAAGATCCTGAAGTGAAACAGAATTTGGTGAAGCCAATGAACTTGAATGCTTTTGACATCATTTCCCTATCAACAGGATTTGATCTCTCAGGATTATTTGAGAATGAGCGAAAGAAAGAGACACGGTTTAGTTCTCGATTGCCAGCAACGGCTATTATCTCAAAGCTGGAGGAAATTGCAGAGCATTTGAAGTTTAAAGTTGGAAAAAAGGGCGGGGGTATTCTCAAGATGGAAGGATTGAAACCTGGAAGAAAAGGGGTTTTGGGGATGGACGCTGAGATATTCGAAGTCACTCCTTCGTTTCACATTGTAGAGCTAAAAATGACGAATGGAGATACATTGGAGTATCAGAAAATGTTGGATGAAGATTTGAGGCCAGCGCTCAAAGATATTGTTTGGGCTTGGCAAGGTGACCAACACTATCTACAAGAGCAGCAACAAGAGCAGCAACAAGAGCAGAGTTGAATGCAGTTCTGATCAAGGTACGAAACTTGCGGCGGGAGTCCTTACAAGTTCCTTGTTCAAGTAGTTTTTAGGTGTTTGTTGTTTGTTTATTAGCATATTTTGTGTAATTGTGTTTTGATAAAAGAGAGGTGCTTTACTAACTGCAGGCTTTCCTGATATAACTTAGCTTATTCATACAGACGTGTAATCATTGTTGCATGTACTTCAGTTGTGCATATATAGATTTGTGTTTTAATTTCTCTTATGAATGGAAGTGTATTCGAGTTTTAATAGCCTACAGTATTCTCTCACCATGACTGATGACTGAATGAAAAAAAGCTGAATCAATAGCTCATCGACAAACATCCTATAGCGTGGCGTGTCTGATGTGATCACATATTAGCTCCTTACAATCAGCTCACTCGATTGACAGTGAAAAATTACTCTAAAGGAAAAGAAAAGAAAAGAAAATCTATAATTGCATGTTTTTATTCCCCCATGAGTTTTTGATACAACAATATACATTACTCCTTTACTACATTAGGTAACCAATTACGCAGATTTATTTATTTTTACTGCTGAATAGTAACGGGCGAGTCCGTCAAGTCAATAATATCTGAGTGAACTTTAGCCCTCTTGTTGCGCTTTTCCACAATGCAGCTAGATGGTGTTGACAAACTTATGACATTGCTCTCATCATCAATACAAAAATTCTGTGCTTTGGTTTCAAGTACGGGGGAAATGAGCAGACTATCTGTTGATGAATCATTCTTCGAAGATCTCAGGGATGATGGTCGTCTCTGTAAGTTGCTTTGTTGAAGCCATTCGCAGGAGTTCTCATCTCTGAATGAACACGGAGTTTCGCTAGTGCTTTCAGGGATTTCGCTGATTATTTCATATCTTTCATCAGGCTTTGGAGACTCAACAAGACAAGGAGACTCAAATGGACAGTTATTGGATTCCTTGCTAATGTAAAGGTCGCAAGAAGATGAAATTTCAGAAGAACGAGCATCTTCTTCAATTCGATTAGCAGGATCAACATCTTCATTAATCTTTTCTCGCTCGTAGTCAATTTCATCACTGTCGTTGCAATCTGAAGTCTGACCTTCTACATAGCACGGAAGCTCATCCATGATGCAAACATTAACTTTCATTTGCTTTGGCAATCTCGGGCAGCCACCAAGATGCATCATGTATTTGGTAGAGAAGAAATTTACTGTAAGGTATAAACTGGTAGGGGGAAAAAATGATGGTTAGATTCTGATAAATGCTTCTAGTTAATTAGTGAGAAGATAAATAAGCCAAACAGAGAAGAATACTTACTTCTCCCAGTAAGGAAGAGTAAGCATCGTGTAGGCAATCTTGATTTTATTCCCTACGCCAGAGAAGGATTTGAAAGTTGACGCAGCTTTTCTAACAGCTAGAGACTCAGTTGGATGTTGCCAGGCCCATTCAAACTGCAAAAGCTCAATTTGAACATGCAAGGGTAAGGATTCAGATTGCTACCGGCAGGAAATAAAACGAGGCTACATCAGGGTTATCCCTATTATTCAGTTTAAGTTGACCCAGTAGTAAAAACGAACACAATTTTACGCATGGACTAGTCATCAGCATTGGCTCGACGTCTTTCGAGTCTCTTATCTTCTGTGTCCAAAGCCCGCCATCTCCTGATCGAGACAAAGAGGGGTCCAGTTTTCGGACAGTCAGGCAGAATCACCTCAGGATCAATCTCATCAGAGTCATACTAAAGAACCTAACAATTGGGCTCCGACGATTCAAGGGGAACTACTAATTCATGGTAGAAAATGCGTTAAAAAAATACATAATGCGGAATTATATCATTTATAGATGGCCAAGATAAAGCTTTGGAGTTCATATAGTTATCAGTTGAACGGTGGCGTTACAAGGCGTTTCTCTTCTCGGTGTTGGCTTTTCTCACAAGTGTTTCATCTACGATTGAAGGAATTTTCACGCCAGAAAGAATTACCTATGAATTTATTTACGCACATCCAATCAATTTGGAAAAATAAAAAAAACAAAATTATGAATTTTCATGCCATAACAACCTGAAGGGCGGAAACATTGGATGGGAAGCCGTAGATGCAAAGAACCATCTCCCACGGCCGCCCTCGCCTTGTCCGCCACGCGCCGCACCCAATCTCCCCATTGTGCTGCCGGATCCTCCTCCGTGGATTCACCGTGAACCTGCCAAGAAATTTACAGGGAAATAATTAGATACAGCTTCGACGAATTTTCAAAACCAGCAACACCCACCAAGTCTGAATCTTGATCAGTTCCCCCGAACCTCGGGATCCCCAAAAAAAAAATTAATAAGAAAATTTTTTGGTGGGTTCAGTTGCGGCACCAAACCAAGGTCTCAACCTTGGTCAGCCGCCCAATATCGAACGGAATAAAAAATCGCGACTTTTGAACAAATTCTCGAAGCTAGTTTCCCACTTGGGGGAGTGATCTGATCAAGGGGTCAAAGCTGGGGTTCAGAAGAATTGAACAGGGTGCGGAGGATTACCCGATGTAAGTGCGGCCTTTATGGCGAGGGCTCTGAGAGGAGAGGAGGTAGCAGGCGAAGAAAGCCGCGCCGCCGGCGTCGCTTTCGCCGTCCCCTGCGGCCTCTCTCTTTCTCTCTCCCCACGGTTTTCTCTGATCTCCCCTCTCTCGGCTCCTCTCTCCCCATCTCTCTCTCTCTCTCTCTCCTCCCCGCCCCTCTTGAAATCCCTCTCCTCTCTCGCATGCCTCCGGACCTCGCCCATGTCCGTTTTAACTGTGGTGTGGTGCGAGGATGGAGGGTGGGGCCCACGCACATTGGGGGGTTTTTTCACTCACTGATTAAGGGCAGGAGATCGAACTCCAGCTTCGGTTTGGAGACGTTGCGAAGGTTTCCTTCGTATTAAAATTAAATATATATATATATATATATATATATATAATATATATATATATATATATATATATATATAATATATATATATATAATATATATATATATATATATATATATATATATATATATATATATATATATATATATATATATAATTATAATATATATCATACTCCTTCGCTTAAGGCTGGGATTTAGAAAAACGAAAATTATTTGGTCAATTTTACTAGTAATCTTTTTCAGTATTAATATTCTTATTCTTATTATAACTGACTATCAGCTAAAGCAATTAAGTTAAAATTAAACTTCAAATTAAAGCCCACACCACTCAAAATTAACTAATGAAAAAAATTAATTAATCTAATTAGAAATTGTTGACAACTGAAAAAATAGAAAGAAATTTAGAGGACGTTAGCATTGTAAACATAATTGCATTGCGCGTGTAAATATTAAGCAGTTGATTGATACTAAATTGTGAAATTAATTAATTTGTTAACAATAATTAACTTGATTAAAATTTTTTTTTACTGGTCCATTAAATCTTTAATATTTTGAAATTAATCCGTCAAAGCATTGGAATTATTATTAGGTAACTTAATTCTTAAATTATTTAAAATTAGTACTTCAAATCAATGGCATAATTAGCAATTTGATGGACTAATTTCCCTCTGATTACTTTTTTACTTTTGATTGGAGGAGCTAATATCGAATTAACTTAAGAATTAGAGATGTAATAGCTATCTCAATGATTTGATGAATTAATTTCAAAATAATAAGAATTGAGCAACCTAACTGATTGTAGTTAGATGTTTGCAATCCTATGGATAGATTTTTCTTAAATGTTGATAGATTTTTTTTTCATTCTATAGTCACGAGGAATTACTATAGAAGAATTATTTTTCCTTTTTTTTAACTTCGTAAGAATTTTATGTCCTTTGTTATTATTAGTTTTGAGGCATTGAAGAAACTGGTCACGACATGAGTGACTAACATTTTAAAACATTTGTTGGTTGCACTGCTTATGACCACAACAACATATAAAATAAAAGTTGAAGGTACTTAAACATAAGAATTAAGAAAGCTTATAGTCAATATTACATCATTAAGTAGAGATTTAAAACAAACAATTTCACAGCCAAGTTATATTTAAAGCTGTTTAATTAGAATATTTTGTTAAAGAGATAGTTATAAAATTGGAAATGATTTACAAGTCATGTTATAGTTCGAGTTAACATCTTGATGATGATGAATGCTTGAAAACGATGTACTCTTTTTGTTATTAAACGTGGAAAACTATCCGATGAATAAACAATAATTGGCGACTCCTTGGAAGAAAACATTAACTTAGCGTCTTCTTTCTGCAACCTAAGTTTTATAATGACTATAAATTGAAAATTTTGGGCATTTCTCATACGTCCATGAATTATATACTCATCTATTTATAGTCAAGAAGACGAAACAAAATAATTTATTTCAGAATTGACGGTTGAGATAGAGGGTATCCCTATTTCTCTTGCATCCCTCTTTTGTCTCTTGACCATCCTGTTTTTTCTTTCTCATGCCTTTCCTTCTTGCTTCTTTCCGCATTTTTATCCTGCACACCTCTCTCTCTCTCTCTCTCTCTCTCTCTCTCTCTCTCTCTCTCTCTCTGTTTTCCAATTGCACATGAGGGAAATTCAAGATCTTGAAACTGGGTCAGAGAATTTTCCAAGAATGTGGATGTGAACGTTCATATACGTGAACCGAGAAAGAGGTAACAGCTCAGACTTGGTTTTAGATTATTTTTATAAGCAAAAAAAATGCATAATATGATAGTTTCAGAGCATGAAACTTCCAATAATCCATTTACGTCAATTTTGATTGAAAATACGATGAAATTAATCTTAAACTTACGTAGCCGCGATCATATGAAGATGGTGATATTGTTTTTTTACTTTTTATGTTATCTTTCATTTCATAAAACATGAAGAATGCCGATATTGTTTCATTTTATATTTATTTTATTTAATTCAGAATGTTTGCTTTCTGTCTTAAACTTACACGTATGGAGAATATTTGGTTGGTATTGTTTCTACGTTTGATTTTGTCTTTGGTTTTAAACAGGGTGAATTTTACTTTTTATGACGTTTATTGTTAACAATTTGTCTGAGAGCTTCAAATCGACTGGTCTTTTACAGAACTCATACAAAATTTACATTCTGCAAGGTTTAGCCCTTATAGGGCTGAACTACTCCATATAGACCAGGACTGCCTCTAGAGATGAATCACTTCTATATTGCATTAGACTTTTGTAGGCGTCTAAAATTGTCTAGGAGAGCCCGCACGAAACTCGAAGCAATGAATGGGCGAGTCAAGAAGATTCACCTAATCAGCTCGCGCGCGTCGCTCAGCGCACTCACGCCATTCAACCCGTGCGCGTCGATCAACGCGCGCACGTCAAACCAACTCGTGTGCGTCGGTCAATGCGCGCACGTCAACCAGCTCGTGCGCGTCAGTCAACACGCACACGCCAATCAGTCCGCGCGCATCGATCAACACGTGTATGTTAACCAACGCGCATTCGACGGTCAGTCTTGCGGCGAAGCGTACGAGTCATCCGACCTGCGCAAGTGCAGGTCGGGTGTAACCGACCCGCGCAAGCGCGGGTCAGACAGGTCCGACCCGCACCGCGCAGTCTGGAACCCGAAACGCGTTTTGACGGTTTTAAAGCTGTTTTCATAGGATTTATCTGTTCCAGGGGTTCCTAACTGACTTGATATCATCCCCAAACGTGGTTAGGCTGTTATTAACTGAAGATAGAGCCAAATCACTTGTTCTCATCCAAATAACCGCATCTGAGGCTTATAAATATGAGTCAAAGGCCTCCATTTTCGAGATCTGGAATTTTATCGAGAGGACGAGGTGCTGATGGATTGAAGAGTGAAGGAGCACGAAATTTCAGCGAAGGCTAGCGGGATCCCGACGAACTTCAGCATAAAGGAGAAGCCGTTCGAAGGTTCTGAAGCCCGTACGTCCGTTCCTTGAGATTAGGCTTAGTCTTAATCTCGAGAAGAGCCCTAATTTCGCTTGGTCGATCTCAGCGCTTCAAATCAGAAAACTTCTTCGGCGAAGACGAAGCTCTGCCGAATTTTCCTACAACCGGATCTGATTCGCGGTCGTCCACAGATTAACCCCGGCACCGGCAAAGAACCCACGCAAGCAAGACCCGATAAACGGATCTTGTGTTTATTTTCAAGAAAGTTGTAATTTTTATTTTCGTTATTCGAATTCATTTGTAAACGACTAAAGTTTAATGAAATCAATGATGAAGGCAGCTTTCCACGAAATTCGAATTCATTTGTAAACGACTAAAGTTTAATGAAATCAATGATGAAGGCAGCTTTCCACGAAAACAACTTTAGTTGACATTATAATTTCTAGACATAATACAATAATCTAGTTATCTGTGAAAATCTAGATAGATAAGAACCAAATGGCATTTTAACATATTATAATCTTCTCGTTTAACGTTTATAGCTAAATTTTATACTCACGAAACTTTTACTTTCTTAATTGACCCCTACATAATTGGTTTGAGCATGATTTTTGACTCTTTAAGTTTATAAAAATTTTCATTAACAAATCTTAATGCCCTTTTTACACTTTCTTCTTTCTAATTATTCCAGTTCATTAATTTTGGAGTTATAAACTGCGCAGATATCATCAATGTGTGATATTTGGACGCAATGGAGACCATTAATCCAACAGCAACAACAAATCCAAACTCTACATCAGAGGAGCCTAAAGGTTCCAAGAGGGTCACAAAGCCAAGATACTCAAGGTTCATGCAACAAGAGCTCCCATCATGGAACCCAATCCTAACTCCCCGCTGGGTAATCTTCCTGTTTTCGATCATCGCTGCAGCCTTCATCCCCATCGGCATCTTCTCCCTTCAAGCCTCTCACAAAGTTGTGGAGATTGTCAACCAATATGAAAAAGCCTGCGCAAACCAGGCGACAGACAAAGTCGCCTACATTCAAGACTCGAAAATAAGCAAAAAGTGCACGAGGATTCTCACAGTGCCCAGGGACATGAAGAGCCCTATCTTCGTATATTATCAGCTCGACAACTTCTATCAGAATCATCGCAGGTACTTTTCAAGTCGAAACAACATACAACTGAAAGATCCGAACAAAGCCAGCACTACCAAAGGATGTAAGAACGAGGCGGAGACCAAAGATAAATCCCCCATAGTCCCGTGTGGACTAATTGCTTGGAGTTTATTTAACGATACGTTCAGTTTTTCGCGAGGTAACGAGACGTTGGAGGTAAATAAGAAGGAGATTTCGTGGAATACCGATAGAAACGAGAGATTCGGGAATGATGTTTACCCCAAGAATTTTCAAAGTGGGAGCGTTATTGGCGGGAAGTCTCTTGATCCTAACAAGCCTTTGAGCGAGCAAGAGGATTTGATGGTTTGGATGAGAGTTGCGGCTCTTCCAACATTTAGGAAGTTGTATGGGAAAATAGAGGTGGATCTCAAAGCAAATGATAAGATAACCGTGAGCCTTGAGAATAATTATAATACTTACAGTTTTGGGGGAACAAAGAAGCTTGTGCTTTCTACCGCTACTTGGATTGGAGGTAAGAATGATTTCTTGGGGATTACATATATTGGTATTGGAGTGTTATGCTGTTTTCTTGAAGCATCCTTTTTTGTACTGTACATGTTGAGTCCAAGAAAGCTTGCGGATCCAGCGTATTTGTCATGGAATAGGAAAGCTAGAGGGCATCATTAGATGGTTTTTTTTTTTCATAATTTCGAAATGTAGCATTCTTCCTTTTTTGTGTTAAAAAAAATTATTGCCAATTGTATGATGAGAAAAAGGAGAGAAAAGTAAATATTATATTTCGTATTTATGATCTTCGATTTGTATGTCTATAAATATGTCTGTCAGCTGTCTAGGAGAAAAAGATGAGAAATTACATAGTAGTTGTTGTAGGTATTTTGATTAGGGGTTGGGACACCCCCACACAATTTACAAAAATAGTTACACCATAGAAATTAAACACTTTATGAGGCTTTCCATAATTGTAGCTTTAGTGACAAGTTAATAGATTAGCTACTGAAAACTACGGGGCAACCAACTCCAAAGGCGAAATAAGGAATTTTGTTCAATTCTTTTGTCCTTTAAACAAAGTGACTTGCTTCTTGATGGAGAATGATATATTCTCCCGACCAATACTTACAAAAACAAAAATTTAAGGCTATAATTCTTCAAATATTCATCAACTTGTATTAAAATCACTTTTGTTTTGTACATATAAATACCTCAAAAACTTTAAAACCTTTAATTCAGATGCCATCTGCTACAATGTGGTCTCAAAAGAGAATAAAAAGATCAAATTATTCCAAAGATGAAACTTATCATGGTCTACTCCCTTAAATTGCCTCCTAACTTGAGAGGATTTGGATCCCTCTGTTGCGCGTCGTGCGGAAGCGTGCTCGACAACCAAACGAGTCGGTGAGCGATGAGAGTGTTTGTTGGAAATTTGATGTAAAAAGACAAAGAAAGAAAATTTGACTTGTATTCTCTCAAAATCGATTAAATTTGGATTCCGATTACAAAAGAGAAGGAATGGATTTGATTCTCTCCTTTGTTTAAGACTGGGTTCTTCTTGTAGCGATGGAGTGCTTCCTTCGATTGATCGCGTCGAACTTGCTCTCCGTTGAACGATCCGACCGTCCTTCTTCACTGGGAATAACTGAAGTGTTTGATGACTTCGGTTTAGAACTCTTGACGAGTGTTGAAGAACTCTGAACGAGTTAAAACATCTGATAAGAGTTTGTTGAAAACCGAATGTCTGGTTTGATGTGATTAACTTGCGTTACAAGCTATTAAAAACTCTTAAACGAGTTTAAGAAACTCAGAATGAGTTAAAACTCTAAAACAGAGTTGTTGGAACCGAAAATTCGGTTAATTGGCCAAGTGGATGATACCTTTGATGAAAGGATCCTTCGGGATTTGATTAACTGATCGTTGATCAGTTCCTTGATCCCCCGAAGATCTCTTCTTCCGAACCAATTACTCCAATCTGCGAGATTTGTTGACCTTAGTGGTTTTGATACCAGCGTCCTCAACTCTTTGCGTTTTTTTATCTCAGAAACCGATTGATCAACCTCATCAACCCGCCAACACCCTTACTCAGTTGAGTAAGTTGGTTAATTTATGGGTGATGTGGAGTGCAACCAACTTCTCATCCGCTCCTTTGTGGGCGAGAATCCTCAGAACGTGGGATAAACGGTTATGAGGCCGTTCAGCTTGCGTTGAACAAGTCAAACGCCTCAATTGGCGTTCTGGGCTTTAACTCTGCGCCCCAAGGTTTGGGACGCAGAGTTAAATCTCTGTTAGGGATTTGAGACGCACGGGCCTCGTGTGTTCTGAACTTGGAAACGCACAGGCTGCTGGTGCGTTGAAATTTAATTCTGCGTTCAGAGTTCGGAGACATAGCTGAGTCTGTTGAATAACGCACGTTATGGGTGCGTTTCGTGATTTAACTCTGCGTTCAGAGTTCGATGTCTGTTGATGAACGCACAGATTGTGTGCGTTTGAGAAACGCAGAATGAATTTCTGCGTTTGGGAGAACTTGTTGGCTTATACCTCGTCCACTATAACATTACAAAGGCTATTGTTTATTGATCTTTGCCTGTTATAGGATATGAAGAGTCGTCAGATTGTAACTCTCATGTTGGTTGTGAAGGCCACTGAACAGAGTTTTCATCAGGGCTGTCGGACGGCACAAGTTCAAACCTGGCGTTAATTTCATAACGCAAGGGTTAAACCTCTGCGTTAAGTTTTGAACGCACAGTTCAAACCTGTGCGCTAAATTTTCATCAACGCAAGGGTTGAACTCTGCGTTAAGTTTTGAAGCGCACAGTTCAAGCCTGGCGTTAGAATTAAATAAACGCAAGGGTCAGTCCCCTGCGTTTCGAATTCAAAACGCAGAATATTAACTCTGCCGTTTCAAAAAAATAGAACGAGTCTTCTTCCTCATTTGCAAGAACCCATCTAGGTTTTTCTCAAATAACTTGCCGAAGCAAGTTTGGCGGCAAGCACATCTAGGGTTTTAAAGAATTCGGCCGAAGCGAGTTCGACGGGGCCACGAATGGCAGCACTTACCACCGACCGGTGGGAGCCGGAGGCGGGCGGCGCTGCTGCAGCCGGAGGCGGCGGCGCAGCTGCAGCGGGAGATCTGGGGCGAGGAGCAGCCTTCTCTTGGAACCCATGGAGGAGAAGACGAACAGGATCACGCGGAGTTGGAAACGCAGAGGCTTCGTTTAAAAATCTCTCGAAGAAGAAGAAGAGAAAAAGTCGGGTGACTTTTGATTTGACCTTTGGCCGTCTATTTATAGACAGCCATGAGCTTGTCAAATCGGGTCGGGATTCAAGAATTCCGCTAAACACGGCCTCGTGCGCCTGTGTTGCTTGAGCTTCCGAACGCAGCAACTTGGCCCTAACGTTATATCGATGTATCACAAAGAAACATACTTGTGCCGTCTGCAAGAGTTAAACCTTGAACGCAGAGCTGATTAACCTGCATTTCAGTTCGATAACGCAAGAAATCTATCTGCGCGTCATGATTCAAGCAGATAATTCCCTCTCTGCTTTTAAAACCAAAGGCATGGTTTCAGATAAATAGAGGGAGGTTAATGTCAGCCATCAAGGTGACTAAAACCAAGAAAAACAGATGACTCCACTGAAGAGTCCATTGGATGAGTATAATTAAATTACAATCAACCGAGTTTGAAAATGTCTTCTAAATTTGGGATCCAAAGTATTCCGAAAATTCGTCCCAGTCACCGCGAACTTTCGAAAACTTTGGAGGGGGTTCTGTAGGCTGTCTAAAAAATCACAATGGATAGCTGATCCAAACAAGTCCTGACAATAGGAGTTACAATCAGACGACTCCCCAATCACTTGCATTGCGCAACTTCTGCCACCGCTATAAACACGGCCTCATCTCCGAGAAATAAAAGGTTGGACTTAGCTGGTGAGTTGCTGGGTAGAGAGCTGTGGGCAAATATTCGTCCAGAAGACACTATGGATGTTGATTCCCGTCAAGCTCCAACAATGAGAGCAACAAATCAAATAGCTTTCACGCCGACGATCGAAAACGACAAATAGGAGACTTTTCACACGGATCGAGAAGAGTTACAATTCGACGACACTTCCGCACAG